CGAGGTGCTGTGAAAACTCAAAGGGCTAAGCGGTTGGGGTAGTGAGGCAGAATAAAACTGTGGGAAGAAGAAAAAGGTAAAGGAAATAGAGATCACAGTTTAGACACAATTTCTCCAGAACAAAGTAGACCACTGATTTATGGGTGTTTTTAGCCAAATTGTGCCCCCCCCCAATTTATATGTAGAAGTACTAATCCCCACACCTCAGAAAGTGACTAGATTGCAGATAGGGTCTTTAAATGGGTATATAAATTAAAATGAGGCCATTCGTGTGGCCCCTAATCCAATGGCCGATGTCTTTATAAGAATAGATTAGGATGTACACAAATGCACAGAGGGAAGACCACATGAAGGCAGCCATCTCTCTATAAGTCTAGAGGCCTCTGAAGAAACCATGAAATCATACTGACTCCTTGATCCAGGACTTCCAGTGTCTAAAACTGTGAGAATATTAATTTCTGTCGTTTAGCCCACCCAGTCTGAAGTTCTTTGTCATGGAAACCCTAGCAAACTGACATACAAGGCAATATCATCTAAATTATAGAAACCAAGTAATACTAGCATTGGTAGGTTCTAGGTAGATCTAAGACCACCCTTCTCCTAGAAAGATTTCTATAGAAATACTAGGTCTGACTGTGGCTGAAAGTTGCCATTCTCTAATTCTTCAAGTGGAGCATTTCTTCTTCCTAATATTCACAGGTCACAATGGGTCAATGTCACTCCTACTCTGGGGTGTGGTCCAGGATGTAGCATCATATCCATTGTAATATTGTCATTAAAATCAGAAGGCAGGAAGTTTACAAGCCTGGTGTTCTGTAAGTGTTTTCAGTGGGAGGAGGCTGGGTAGTTTCTGCTCAGAGTTGAAGGGATTCCCTCACTCATTTCTTCATTTGTCTTTAACAGAGGAAGATTCAATGTGTCAGTTTTAAGAATATTGTTGTATTTGTGTCTAGTTAGTCATACTAAATCCAGGGGGAGCAGATGGTGTGGTGGTTAGGGCACACTGGACTATCTGGCCAACCATGGTTTAAGTCCTGGACCTGGCAGCTTGAAAACCACACCAGGTGCGTGTAAGTGCATGCCCAAAACCCCAAAAGGAGATTAGTGGAGAAGGAATTGTGATATGGCCAACGCCCCTGGGGGGGGTGATTTCTCACTTTCCCTCTTTCTGTCTCTCCCTGGCAAGCACATATGCCTTATGGCCAAACCTAAAATAAACGTAATATAATAGTAATTCCATCATGGTGCTTGGTTTAAAATATGAGCTCAGTAAGAATTAATCTACTTTTCAGTTTTTTCTAGTTCTGTAGCGTTTCACAGTAAACAGATCTCTGACACATGCTCTCAGCTAATTTTCAAAACAAGTCTGTGAAGTACAAATTATTATCATCTTTATTCAGCTGATAAGAAAATTGTGCTTCAAGGAGGGTGAGCCATTTCCTCAAAGTTGCACAAGTTAATAGCAGAGACTGAACTCAAAGCAAGATCACCTGTCTCTTCGAGCAGGACTCTCCAATACACCCACCAGTTTTAGATAGTTCTGTTCTACCCTGTAAGTTTCAAATAATCCACTTTAATCAAGGGGTGACATTTTCTGTATTGATCAAATATTCTCAGTAATCAAGAACTTTGATGTTTACTATACAGATGGCACCTATCCTACAGATATCACATGACTAAACATTTCGCACATATAAATGTCAGAGAAGGCCAGTCCTCTCAAGTGCCTTCACAGGGTTCTTCTCCCACTATTGCCCTTGGTTCAGAATTTCTAAAAAACGAGTGCTTAGAAGATACTTTTTTATACATAAATGTAACTTAACCAATACCTGGGGATAGATTTGACTGTACGGATCTTTATATATTCTTTGGTCTTTTTTTTTTTTTCAGTTTGAGTATGTCTGTGTGTGGGATGAGATGGCAGTATCATTGTTTCTATAGAAGTATGCCTTTCAGATTTTTACACTGGATTTTTAAGCAAACTTATGGAACATAGCCTGTTTGTGGATGGGAGGAGAGGCCTTAAAAATTAAGAATTTTCAAAGAATTTGTTTATATTTGTTTTGAACCAATTATTTTTTTTTCTTTAGGTTTTTGTGATAGAGCAGGTGCACTTGCTGAAGACACACAGAGAAAGAGAGAAATCACCCCCAAGAGAGGATGGCCACACCAAAATCCCTTCTCCTCCATTCTCTTCTTGCGATTTTGGGCATGCATGCACACATTCCCAGCGTGATTTTCAAGCCAATGGGACTGGGGCTCAAACCGTGGTTGATCGTATGGGAGTCCAGCACCTTAACCATCACGCTATCCGCTGGCCCTTGAACTAATCTGTTTATGATATAGAATGCACCTTAAAAATCTTGCAACCTCTCTAAATGAGTATTGTGACACGTGACGGTTTCCCAATGGTATATGCCCTATAGGTGCAGAGGAGGACGATTTAATGAGATCCTGAGTGATGACAGTGTCGACAGCATTGCACGGGTGGTGCTGTGCTATTGGAAATCCCGTCAGAGCCTGGGAGCACCGGAGTAAAGTCCAGTGCAGGCACTGGTTTGATAACTCACTGCACCTCTTCCTCCTTAGAGAAGAAAGGTGATAGAAGACCCGGTTCAGAGATGTTGGATTCCAGTGATGGAGAAGCAATTTTCAGGAGTGTTATATGAAAGAAGTAAAATAGACCAGAAATTCAAAACTCTAGAGGTAGGGACAGTCTGAGAGATCAGAACCCTTACGGAAAGCATCCATTTTCCTCTGACTTCAGATCACTGGGGTCATGAGTAAGGCAACTGGCAGCACATCCCAGTTTGCCCCGGGGCAGTTTCAGTTCAAGCCTGTTGTTCAGGCATATTATTAATGGAGCCTCAGCTCACTCTCAGATATGTGCCAGTTTGTATGACACAGAAAACGGGCACACTAGCCATAGGAGCATTTGGGCTAAATATCACCTAGTTTCCTATTTTTAAAGCCAGATATTTGGGTCTATATAGAATGTCTCTGGATTATTTTAATATGGGCAATAAATTCCAACTTTTAAAAATTGTCCAGGCTAAATACAACTCACGAGGGGTAGAATCTGGTCTGAGAGTTGCCAGTTTGCAACCGCTGTATTAAAAACCCTGGTTGACACTAGAATGCTGTTTGTTTTACCTTTTTGGAGAACTTGATTCTCATGTGACTAATGAAAGACAGCTTAAGGCTATTCCCACAGGGGAGAGACTTCCACTCTAGGAAGTTCCAGTGGTTAGCAGGGCAGTGTCCAGATAAAAATAGGGCAGTTAAGGGCAATTGTTATAGGACTTAGCAAGGACTCTAGGTAGCACTTCCCATGTAGTAAGGGTATTACATAGACTATTTCATTTATTCTTCACAATAGCCTTATGAGGGAAATATTACTATCTCCATCGTTCTAATGAGGAAACAGAGACTAATTAGTTTGAACAAGGTCACCCAGCTAGTAAGTGGCAAGCTGGGGACTGAATTGTCACGCTTGACTCCAAAGCCCACACCTTTATCCTCTGTGTCAGCAGTTTCCCAAAGTAGAGGGATCAACTTTCTCTTGCCCTTGAGGCATTTTTCATTTGGGTGAATCCCTTTTTAACTGCTGTCACTAAAGAAAATTATAGCTTTGACTCTGGGTCTGAAAGAAGGTATTTTCTTGTTTTAATTCAGGACTTTAGACGCGCGGCTCAGTGTTCACCCAAATCTCTAAAAATGGGGAGGCCCCATAGGAGTTCAGAGCCAAAATTCTAGTTAGTTATTAGTAGTGTTCATTTACTAGAGGTCCCTCTCACCTTGGTCCCTTGGGAATCTGTGCAGGTGATAAACAACTGGTCAAAGATTTCAGGTTTCACAATCCCAGTGACTTGTATCCATTTTAGAGTACAAGTCCTGAATATACGTCATCTGACAGGAACTAAAAAAAGCACAGGATTTTTTTCCCCCCATGCTTAATTTGACCAAAGATTGGAAAATGTTTATTACGGTGTAGTAGATTGAATAATTTCTCCCACCACCCCTAAAAGTTCATGTCTCCCCAGAACTTCAAGATGTGACCTTATTTGGAAGTAGGGTCTTGGTAGATGTGATTAGGTAGTCCCCCCTTATCTGTAGGATGTACATTCCAAGGCTTCCAGGAGATGCAGGAAACTGAATACTACCAAACCCTCTACATGGCACGCTTTTTCCTATACATACCCATGATAAAGTTTAATGGATAAATTAGGCAAGTAAGAGATTAACAGCAACAACTAATAATAACTAGAACAACTATAACAATATACGGTAACAAAAATTATGTGAATGTAATCTTTCTTGCTCTCCAAATAATTGTATTGTACTAGAGATTTCAACAACCTCAGCACACAATTTTTTTCCTTTCCCTATTGAGAATTTTCAGTTTTAAAAAAAAAATTCCCAGAGGTCAAGTGCACTCCACAGACAGACAGAGAGAAAAGGAAAGAGACAGAGAGGGAGGAAGTGCTCCCCTCCCCACAATATGGCATGGTCATGATGCAATCCTTTCTCCATTTCTCCATCCCATCAGGATTTTGTGCACACATGTGCATGCATCCAGCATGTTTTTCAAGCCACCAGGAGTGGGATTTGAACTGTGTGGTCGACCATGTGAGCTCTGTCTCCCTTAAAAACCAGACTCTGGGGGTAGGCCCTAAAAAAAGTCATTGCTGGCTCTTTGGCATATCTGAATTGCTAGCGTCACTACTCTTGTACTTTGTTGTCATTATTAAGTAAAATAAGGATTATTTGAACCCAAGTACTGTAATATTGTGACAATCTGATTACAGAGATAACTCCTAATCAACTCATGGGCAGGTAGTATATATAGTGTGGATACGCAGGGCAGAGGGATGACTCATGGCCCATGTGGGGCAGAGCAAGACAGCATGAGATTTCATCACACTGCTCAGAACAATGCACAGTTTAAAAGTTATGACTTGCTTATTTCTGGAATTTTCCATTTAATATTTCAGACTACAAGTTGACCACCATAATTGAAACTACAGAAAGTGAAATTACAGATAAGGGGGGGGCAAGTACTGCTATTAAAATGAGGTCATAATGGATTAGCCTGGTCCTTCATCCAATGACTGGTATCCTTCTAAGAAGAGTAAAACAGAGTCACAAAGGGAAGACTCTGGTATATAAAGACTAGTAGAAAGTGGAGTGATGCCGCTATAAACCAAGGAACATCGAAGACTGACAACAACCATCCACAGCTTAGGAAGATGCCAAGAAGGATTCTTCTCTAGGGACTTTGGAGAAGGCTGTGTTCTTACACCTCAATTTTGGACTTCTAACCTCTAGAACTGTGAGACTTGCTTTTGGTTGCTTTAAGCCATCCAAGTTTGTGGTAATTTGTTAAAGCAGTCACAGAAAACCAATATGCATGTAAAAGAGAAACAAGTACCATAGTGCCCTTTCAAGTTAAAATGAAATCTGTGTTGGATGTTTATAGTCAGAGTCCCCAAAGTCGAAAGTTTAGGAAATATATTCTGACCCATTAAAGAATAAACTCTTCAAAGAAAAGTTTCTTCCCTATATAATGCAAAGTATTTGTGGAATTTCTCGACCAGGTTAGAGGTAGCAGCATGTTGATTCAATATGGCTGGGTTCTGACTAATCCTGACTAAGACTTGCTTGCGTTAGGAAGTCCATCTACCAGTCTACTACCATTTGCCATTCCATCTAAGCCGGAGATCTGTTATTCCCGGGGTGAGCGGTGGACATTGAGTTTGTAGTATGTCATTGTCTATTCTGTCATATGGACTCTATCTGCCTGACTGCTTCCTGTTTCTCATCTGGGCTAGGATTCTGACCAGCTTTCATTTCTCTAAACGTAGATCCCTGCCGTATTCTAACCTCTGGCTGAGTCTCTGCCTCCAATTGGATAGACTCTGCATTGGGGAAGAATATCTCACACTTTCAGTTCCTGGAATGATGGTAGCCCCTTCCGAGCAAAGTTGGTCAAAGTCTCCTACAACCTGACCTCAACTGATTCAACCAAATGTGGGTATCTTACCAAGAGCAGCCCAATACGGCCCTTGATTTCCTTTCCTCATGATTTAGCCTAGGTTGCACTGAACCCCAGGAGTTCTTGCTAGCTCCTCTCTGAGTCCTGTTTTAGCTTCTATGCTGATTTTCATCTCATTGTCACCGTTCATACCTGGTTTCCAGCCATCCTATGCCTGAACCTTCCATCCCTAGACTAAGAGGACTCTGGTTTGGAAGAAATCAATAGTCCTTGTCCTACTAGCTAATGGAAGTTTAAAAATGGTGTTTGGCTCACGGCTGAAACCTAAGTGTCTTGAGCAAGAGTTCTCCCTGACACTCCAGGATGCTCACACATAGCTCCTTCCAGTTTACCCAGAGGACCCTGATGCTATACTCTATCCTCAAGCTTTTGGGTTGTTGGAAAAGTCATGATTCATTTTTACATAGAAAAAAATACATTATGGCTTTTCTGACAACCCAGTAGTGTTATTTTTCCTGATATCACCTTTGTGTATCCCATTTCCTGGGGCTGGGCCAACTCTTGTATTTCTCTACCTTCCGTTGGATAGACTTCCTCAAGACTTAGCTTTACACCTCACAATCCTCCACCTCAGCCTACACCTGGTCTTCACCAGCGGCCCCTGAGCCATTCTCCTGTGCTGCTGTGCTGTGTGAGTTGTCCCTTTGACCTTGACCTCTGTGAGATGGGCTGTGCTTTTTATGCCTTTGCTGGGCCTTGGTCTCTTATTGCCACCTTCTCTTGTGGGTTTCAACTTCTACCTCAGTTTTGCTCCTGATTCTGGTGACTCCATCTCACTTTGACTCAAAATATCTTTTCTGTTCCTACCATGCACTGGTCATGGGCTTCAAGCCCATTGAGAAACTGACACTTCAAGACCTTGCTTCAGGATATTAAGGGAGTGTGTGAAATGTGCATAGTGGAGCTGGGGCAGTTTGCCAGTTTCATCTTAATAAACCTTATTCCACTCCCAGACATGCCTTTCCTGCCCTACTTCTATAAGGCCCTTCCTGCCTCGCATTTGTATAAGCACTGTCTCTGGTTTTGGCAAGAGCTTCTGACCCACCATATGATAAGTATCCCTGTTCCCCATTTGGCTTCCCCCTCCTCCCTCAGTATTGCTGGCCTGTCCCTGTGAGCTGTATCTATGCCTTGGAAGGCATGACCTGGCATTCCTGAGGGCTCTGCCTCCTCCCTGGCTCTGGCCCTGTCCCAGAAGCTGTGAGGATAGAATATTTTAACCCCTCCAATTTCAGTTTTCTCCTGAGAAGGTAAGGTCTGGTACTAGAATATGGGCAGCCCAGACTCAGACCACCCCTTTTCAGCAAACCCAGAATACCCTAAGAAAGAAGGTAGAAAATAGGGGCAGACATTCAGAGCTGAAGAAACTCCCAGAAACAAACCATCAGCTGTTGCCTAGAATGCTCTGATCGTCCCTCCATAGGGTGTTCTTACTCCCCTCCATACCATAGATTTGTTAGAAGCTGCCAAGTTGTGTTTTCCAACATTTGAGATCTTTCTGTACTATTGCTCCTGCTCCCCAACTTCCAGTAGCTTTTTCCTTAGACCTTCTGCCGAGTGTCTTAATCCTGTTTCAGGAGTGAGGATGGATGGTTACTTTAGTGAGTTCTACAAGGCTAGGGACCATTTCACCAGATAGACCAAAACCCAGAAGTTGAGATGACTCTTGGTTCATGGAAAGCAAAGTGAAATTCCATGACGGTCTGGTGCCTCTCCACTCTAGCAGCTGTTACAGACCTGGCACAGAACCAGGCATGTGGGTACAGAGAGACCACGAAGAAACACTGCTCTTGTTTCTGGCCTGTTTCATGAGCCTGCAGGACACACACACAGTGGTGGTCTTTCTGGTCAAGCTGCTTTTGATGAAAAGAAACTGAAACTCACTCAGAGGCTAGGCAGTTGGAATGAGCAGAAAGCTGGCCCTTGTAAGGTAAATGCTAACAGGGAAGTAGGGAATAACAGGTAAAGGGACTGATCTGTCTGATTAGGGCAGCAGGTCAGCTAGGCTCAAAAGCCAGGCACTGAGTGAACACACAGTCGCTGTCACTCTGCTCCTTCTGCGGCATGCTCATTTTTGCACTTATTCCTGGCAACGCAAAGACTGTAAACTTCTCAAGCCCACACTACTTCAGAAACTGCTCTCAACAAAGTCAATATGCTCTCACCTCTAAACTATTTAGAGGAGTTATTAGAACTATGAATGGGACTCCAAGCCTCTCTTCCTGACAGAGAGGGACTACCTTTTTTTGAATATTGTGCTCACGAGACTCTAAGCACTAACACTATCTCCTTGCCTATTTCTTTTCTCCCCTTTCACGCTTCTCTTCTTCCCACTTCATGAGCTGAGCTCCTTAGAGTTCCAGCCTTTGCTTCTTTTTACCTGCATTGTGCTGTGGCTTAGGCTGTGGTGCACTGAGAGAGGTTGGAATAATCAACTCATTCCCATAACTCTGCTTCTAAAGACGACTCCTCAAGTGAAGCACCTGTTAGCCTAGCCTTACTAAATTCCTGGTAACTTACCTTGTAGCATTCATCACCTCCCCAAGGCTGGAGTTTCATACCCTAAGCTTCCTAAACTAAATTTCTGGTTGCCCTCAGGTTCCAGAGACACATACACATCAATTATTTGTGACAACTAATGGTTAGCACCTCAGAGAAGCACACCCATTGACATTCTTTAAGTTTTACAACCTTGGGGCTCATACATATGAAGAAAGCAAGGCTCATAGAGGTGAAGTGACTTGTCCAAGGTCAAATGAGCTAATGGTAGAGCCAGGACAAGAACTCAAATCTTCTGCCCTCAATCTAGGGATCTTACCATTGCGCCCTCACGCCTTCCTCTAGATTTTATCTTTGACTTATCTAACACTATATCTTGAGTCAAAATTACTCCCATAGCTTAAAAATAGGTCAGCTGCTTTATTGGTATTTTCTTTCTGGTTTTCTAAAAGTGGTCTCAAAATACTGTGAGCTGCTAATGTAGAGACTTGGTACCCCAAGGCATCATAGATGCTCAACAAGTGTGTTAGCAATCTCATGACTGGAAGCCCTTGTTGGTGGGTTCTCAGTTATGACACAGCCCTTGGTTTCCAAAGGTAGCAGTGTCACAAGCCTTGAATATGAATTATGACCATGAATATCTTTCAGCTACCTATCTCAAGTTCTGGAATCAGGCAAAAGTGCAGTGTAGTTATTTTATGTTATTTTATTATTTATTTATTTTTGGGAGAGATTTTTGCTGTAGGGCACATGTGCTCACCAGAGAGACAGAGAAACAGAAAACGAGAAATTACCCCCCAGAGTGGATGGCCATGCCACAATCCTTTCTCTTCTCAAGATTTTGCAGGATTTGGGGTATGCTCGCACACATGTCTGGTATGAATTTTAAGCTGCTGGGTCTGGAATTAGAACTATGGTTGACTATGTGGGAGTCCAATGATGTAACCACTACACCATCCGCTGGCCCCTGCAATGTAGCTGTTAAATCCTATTTATATCCGTCATCTCTCAGGAAGATTTAACTCACCTACATTTTGTCTCCCATTAGAGAATGTAACAGTAAAATGTCATGGGGAGGTAGCACTGAATAGAAAGTGAGATAGTGGGTTCTGATGCCAACCAAATCTGGGATCATGCCTTGACCTTGCCATGTGTTAACTCAGTGACCTTGGGTCAATTACACAAACTCTCTAAGACTCAGCATTCTCCCTTCTCATCTGTAAAACAAGCATTATTTGAAATCATTATATAAAATAACTCATAAAGAAGAATCAACACTAGGTGTGTCCAATAGCCAACCTCCAAATAATGAATTGTTTATTACTGGATTCTTTTGGACTACCTCGGTCTTCGTTATACAGGTGACCTTGAGTGCTCAAGCTGCTAGATGAAAAGACTGCATTTCTTTAGCATATTGGTAGTGTTAATATTTGTTCTGTTGGGAGCACTTTATTTTTAATTTGACTAGTGAGAGGGGTCAGCAGGTGGCATGGTGGTTTGGTTAATAAGGCGCTGAACTCTCACATGACTGACTATGGTTTGAGTTCTGAACCTGGCGACTTGCTTTCTCATTTTCCCTCTCTCTCTCACTCTCTCTCTCTCTCTGGTCAAATTAAAAATTAATTAATTAATTAAAATCAATAATTCTTTAAGAAAAGATTAAAGAATACTTGTTCTGGGGGCCAGCAGATGGAATAGTGGTTATGTTGTTGGACTCCCAGTGACTTGAAACATGACGGGCTCGTGTGTGTGTGTGTGTGTGTGTGTGTGTGTGTGTG